ACAGCCTAAAGGAAGTTTTTAAGAATCTCCTGAGAAATTTCTGCAGCCAATAAGTTAGAAAAGTAAAACCCGGGGCGCCTGGGTGGCGCAGTCGGTTAAGCGTCCGACTTCAGCCAGGTCACGATCTCGCGGTCCCTGAGTTCGAGCCCCGTGTCAGGCTCTGGGCTGATGGCTCAGAACCTGGAGCCTGTTTCCAATTCGGTGTCTCCCTCTCTCTCTGCCCCTCCCCCGTTCATGCTCTGTCTCTCTGTCCCAAAAATAGATAAACGTTGAAAAGTAAAACCCCTCCAACTTGGAGCTGGCCCAGCACCCCTGTCAAGGTGAGGGGATGGGCTGTATGAGGAACATGGGTGTCCCATTCTGCCCATTTTGTGGTAGACCTCCCATGCAACCTTCCTTTGGTCTTCTGGAACCGCTGACCAATAATTGCTAATACTGATTGAGCATGTTCTATGTCCCAGTCCTGGGTTAAGTCCTTGGCATAGACTATTACAGCTAATTTCCGCAGTAATAATTCAAGGCAGGCAGGTGCCATTCTTTTTCACAAATGAGACCTAGGGAAAAGAACACATTTTCCCCAAAACCTACAGTATATGGCAACCCAGTGCAGAGGTCTACGCCGTTCTCAGGTCAGTACTGTTAACCCCTGGGAGTAGGCAGGATGGCTCTCCCAGGCTGCCTGTGCCAGGGTAGGAGCTGACAGGGTGATGCTGAAGATGCAGACATACATGGGAGAAATATCAAGGCAAAGGCCATTTCTGGGCTCTCAAATGTGCGAATCAATTTCATGTAGTCTTGGTGGTTGGAAAACTGTCTCTCTGACTAGTCAAACTCAAAAAAAAAAAAAAATCAAATGCTAGAGGAGGGAAGGGTGTGCAGAATTGATTTCCTCACTGGGGTGAGTGAGGAAGGTGGCAGGAGAGGGGAAGAAACACCTGATGGGGAGAGGAAGTGATGGGGGGCAGCTGGGGCAGGAGGAAGCTGAGGGTGGCACTCTTAGTTTTGGTTCTACTTCACAGGAAGGGAGGGAGACTGCAAACCCCTTGCATAGCTGCACTCTGGTCCACTGTGTCCAGCCTGCAACTCCGTTCAGAGGAACATATGTCCACAGGGTTCATTTCCACTGCAAATGCCCAGGCTGTTATCTCAGTCTTATCCTCAGATGATGTACAATAAGTTATAGGACCCACTGACTCAGCACCAAGGGCATTTTCCATTTTAAGTCAGTACAGCCCGATTAAGCAATCAGGATGACCAAATCTGGGAATAAAGATTACAAAGTTTTATGGTGTTGATCCACGATAGGGGCAAGGCCAAATCATGTGTGGCTGACATATTTTCAAGGCAACATACACCCAGTTAAGATCAATAAATGATAAATGGTCTTTCTTTCTTTCTTTCTTTCTTTCTTTTTTTATGTTCTTTGCCACTAAGCTCTATCAGCTCTCTGTAGCTGCCAAGGTAGGTTCCACTCTACAAGCCTTCTTCCCAGTGATGCCATGGCGGGGATGCGAGATGTTACTGAAACAAGAGGTGCCTCTGGGGCAGTGGGGAGGGTGGTGAGGAAAGGACTGGAAGCCCCACCAAGGGTCCGAGGTTCCCTAGGGGTTCAGATGGGGTTTGTAAGGTTCAGTATGACTCAGACTATTTCCTCCTCAGTAGGGAGGCCCAGACCCTGATTGCATCACTTTGGCCTGCCCCAGGCCCTGTGAGGGGGGATTAGCGGTTCCAGGCCCTTTACATGCAAATCATATAGTCTTCTGCTGCTAAATGTTTCTGCAGACAGGATGACTAATACTGCCCTAACCAGCTGGTATTTTATCTAGTGCTCCCTGCTAATTCTGGTTTACACCCTATTTATTTTCAAAACCTCAAAAAGTAGGAAAACTAAAATTGGCCTTAATATAAGACCTTCACCAGTTTGACTAAAAAAGTAGGGATTCTGGAGTTCAACTGCCTGGTTCAAATCCTGACATTAATGCTTTAGCTGTAGGACTTGGCACAAGTTCCCTAATCTCTGTGCCTCAATTTCCCTATGTGTACAATGGAGAGTGCCTACCACTTGGGGTACTGAATGAGTGAATGCACTTAAAGTGTTTGGAACAGGGCCTCACACAGAACAAATATGAACTAAACGTTAGTCCTTATTAAGTGAAAACCTCTTCTGTAGTCAAAGCAAGTGCTTGTAGTTAGTCTCCTTTTAAAGACTCAAGCCCACATGTCTACTTCAGTGGGGAATAGCTTGGACAAGTAGGGACAGATGGGCATGGGGATGGGGATGAGGACGAGCTGGGGAAGACAGGAGGGTGATAAGACCTGAGGGTTTTTCAAGATTCCTTATCCAAGAGGCAAGATGGTAACCGGAGGGAAGGGTAAATGTGACCTTGTCTTGACCTCCATGCTGTCAGCTGAGCTGGGGGAACGCCGCAGCCCGAGCAGATGCAGCATCTGCTGATCAAGTGGCTTGTGTCCAGTCTATTGCAGGAAGTATGGGCGGGTGACCTTGTGATCCTCAGGATAGAAGATTAAGGAGAATGGATTAAACATGTGAAGGGGAGCCCTAACCCTGGACTTGGAGACTCCTGGTGTTTTAGGTATATATCCTGTAACTCTTCTCTCTCCCCTCCCATAAAAGAGGGAGGAGGAAGAAGCACTGGATATCATCTCGTAGCATGATCATTGGTGTTCCATTGGGGTAGGCCTGGAATTAAAGGAATGGACTTAAAGCCAACTATAGGGGAATCCAGGTAGCAGGTTTGAATAGGTTATGAAGAGAAAAGCTGCCGAGTTGATTTCAGACTCACTAAAGAGGACATCTGGGTCCTTGGGCTATAATGGATTTTGTAAACAAACACAGGAAGCATACTTTGTTGATCTTATATCGGTGTGAAATAAAGCATATTGGGTGGATCATCAGCTCCACACAGCACTAGAAGATTGAGCTGCAATGTAGCCATGAAAGTTCCTGTTCACCCCCCTACCCCCGCAAATAGAAAAATCCCTCCCTTTCCATTAGTCTGTTGGATTAGAACTTCCGAGCTTTGGACTCTAGATGCATTCCTTTACCAAGTCTGAAACCTTTGGGCAACCAACTAAACTTCTGAGTCTTTCTCTTATTTGTAAAAGGTCCCATGGTATTCACATTGGAAGTAGTGGTAGAATGACCTGAAGATGTAATGAAATTATGCAGGTTGAGTGTGCCTATGAACTGCTCCGTGCTAAACAAAAGCAAAAGGAGGCTCCTAGTGACTCTATTGATTCAAACGACCTTTTTTAGGGGCGCCTGGGTGTCAGGTAAGCATCGGACTTCGGCTCAGGTCATGATCTCGCAGTTTGGGAGGTCAAGCCCCGCATTGGGCTCTGTGCTGACAGCTCAGAGCCTGGAGCCTGCTTCAGATTCCGTGTCTCCATCTCTCTCTGCCTCTCCTCCCCTGTCCCCCCCTCCCTCAAAAATAAACATCCGTTTTTAGCTTGCAGTATAAATAAAGAGCCCAGGGCAGAGATTTTCAATATTGGCTAGCTACCCCTTAGCTGCTCTGTAATTCCTCATCCTGTTTGTAGAGGGAGGCCATGTTCTGGTCAATTTGACGTGTGCCCCTTCATCTCTTTCTTCCTTGCTATATTTTCCAGATGGCATATTTATAAGCTAGAAGCAGGCCATTGAACTTGCACTATACTTTCTCATTCACATAAACATTATGCCTAGGCACTAAGATACTGCAGCAATGTTTAGCAGTTATCACCCTGACTCAGAACAGAAGTTTTGGTCAGTAATAGGCTATGTCCACTTAAGGGACACACAAGTTATACTAACCTTTTGTGTATTTGCTTTAAGGACCCTATCCATTCTGCTTAGAACTTTTAAGTAGATCTCTCCTCTCCTAGTGGGGATAGGACAAATCCTCCTGGACAAAAAGTTTCCTTTTGCTACAAAATGCGTTTATTTCCAGACAGACAAAATTCTCCAGCTGCATATAATGAGTACATAAAGTCCTTCTTTTGATAAATGTCCTTTTATAAGAGCCATTTCTAATTATTAAAATGCATACCAAACATTCGTCTCTTAAAATATAACTTAAATAACCTGCTAATGTAGGAGTCCTGAGTGGCGTGCGATTCTTCACCGAGTTCAGAGCCGTATCCACACGTGGTCCCAAAATGAGATTTCACAAGTCAGCAGGCAGCAAACGTGTCCAGCTCACCTGCTGGTGGGAGGAGTAGTTGCCGTGGTGGCCGCGAGCCCTCTTACGTGGAAAAAGTCATGTGCGGACAAAGAAGCATGATATACGCAATGTGGAGGCGGCATTTCACAGAATGCAAACACCATTCAGGTAAAGAAGTGGACTGGAGAAGGAAAGTTCAGTTTGCATTAGTAGGTGTCATGGCACCGTCTCACTGGGCACTCAATAAATATCCATTAAAGTAAGTATAAGACCAGAAGCTGGAACAGTTGTCTTGGTGCCCAACATCTGTTTTCAAGATAGGGCTTGAAGTTGTTTGACGGATGCTCTTTTGTTTCCTCAGAGTATATCATTCTCTTTGGATAGTCCATTTCCTTATCTTCAAATTCTTGATTAGCATTTACAGACTTCTGGCACACTGCTAGTATTCGGGACTCCCTGGCTTCACGGAGAGCACAGAGTGGTCCATGTGAAATCTTGATTTGTCTTTGGAAGTAAAAAGCTGCTGTGGCTCACTTTCTCGGATCTAGGTGATTCTTCACACCTTCTCTTGAGTTGATTCCTTTTGATATCCCAAGCCCAAAGTAGCCATGGAACCTCCTAGGTGGAGCAGATTTCTTCATGAAATCTCATTCCAGTATCAACTATTTCCAGTACCACGGCTCCCTCAGGACGTGAAAGAGCTGAAGTTCTGTCCTTCAGAGTTTTCCACCCGTTCTCTGAAGGTAAGGTTCTTGTTCTAAGGCTGATACTAGGGAATGCCCCACAAAGGAAATTCCTGGAAAATCTGTATCCCCTTGTGATTCATTCTCTGTAAGGCTAAGGTTGTAATTCTGGAGACACAAAGGAAAAGTTTCTAAATTCATCCTGGTTAATCATAGGAAGATGCCCCTCATCAATTGGGGTTAAAACTGGCTCTTCCTTAATGAAGTCAGGGTCAAAATTACTGACATCTTCTCGGGATTTCTGTCAAAAGGAAACAAGTATTAGTTTGGGGGCACATGAGACTTCCTCATCTTCCCTGGGCCTGTGCCTGTTCCAGGGAGGTCAAAGAATGGCACTGAAACTCTCTCAGTAGCATTATTTACAGTTATGACAGTTACGGCTAAAGAGCACTGTATTGTAATTCTGCACTGTGTATGGTATGGCATTTGGTAACCACCAGTTCACTAACCCCATGAAAATCGTACTGAGGAGGCCGGCCTTAGGTTGGGAGGCAAAGCAATTAATTTGGTCACCTGATCCAGGTGTCTCTATCACCCTTTACTCTGCATTTCACTAAGGTGCCACTTCTCAACAGGTCTTGCTGAAGGCCGCACACACTTGGTTGTCAACAGAGTGTAAGTTCACACTTGCCTCACCTATTGTTTATACACAGGGCTATGTGTGTGAAGAGATCTTTCTTGAAAGATGGGAAAGTGCGGAGTTTAGGAAACCACTGCCTCTCCCTTTATTCACCAGTTGGATCCATGATGCCCTGCTGGCAAAGCCTTCCCTCATCCCCAAGGAGTTGGCAGGGGGAGGCCCATTAAAGGAAGTGGCTTTACGGCTGGGTGTCTGGTGTCCAATCTTATGGACTGTTACAGATTAAGCTAGCTGTGCATTTGGAAATGTTGATATTTTACATCTTTATAAACCAATGCTGAAAAGATCATTTCTGCCATTCTCTCCTATCTCGAACCATGGATGAGAAAGAGCTTAGTTCTCCAACCAAGAGCTAGACCACTCTCAGGAATGCTACATGGATCAGCTGCCTTGCTTGGGAAGGTACCCCTGGTGCTGCCAGCATTTCTCCAGTCAAAAGGGGTTTGGCCTGAGCTCTGTGCTGCAGTAACTGATACAGGCCCAGGCTCTCCAAGCCAAGGAGCCAGGTTTGGTGAGGTGGGTAGGGCAGTGCTTTACCTACCCTTTCTCCTTCTCTGGGGGCTTGGGAAATCCACCCTAAGGAGCTTGAGGACACTGTAGAGGAACAATAAATTTCTCATTCCAACTCATTTGGGGAAATCTGGAACATTTTAGGCCTCTTAGATGGCAGAAAGTGCAAACTTTGGTTAAGAGAGGATGGGGCCAGGGCGAGCAAGAGGTGAAAACTTTGAGAGAAGTAACCGGTACAGGGAGAGATGCTGCTTCAAGGGCATACCTCCTTCTGGGTGAGGCTGCCCTGAAAAATGTCAGGCTGAATTTCTGGTTCGGTTATTCCATAGGGGACCATCCCATTGCTCAACAGATTCTTAAAGACATTTGAAGAAAGAAAGTCTACTCTGCCGGTCTTGGACACTTACGATTCTGGGTCTAAAAGGTGGTTCTACTTGGCGATGGTTCAGCTGGGCCCAGTCGATTTCCTTAAAGAAAGGATGCCTCAGGATGGCATGCTCACCACCCTGAGTCAGGCTGCCTAGGCGCATGGTGGGGTTCTTGGTCATGAACTGAAAGGGGGAGAAAGAGAGTCAATCATTCAATAATCTACAACAAGTATGTCACAAGATGGTAGGCATCAGTTCTGGCAGAGGAGCCCATGTGAGGCCTTCTGGCTGATCTTGCTTAACAAGCTGAATTTTCCATTATGGGCAGGACAGCCAACATGAATCATCCCTTAAGGCGCAATTGCTTGTGTGTATTTATGGCCTTCGCCACTTCCATTTCAGACGTGGCCACTAAAATAAAGCTGAAGGGTCCAGTTTTCTTTACTGTAAATGCCATGTATTTTTCTTTCCCTTTTAAAGAGACTCTTTATAAAATAGTGTGCCCTTCTCCCACACTGCAGTTGTAGACAACCCACAGCTTATGAATAGGGCTACTTTTAAGAACAGCTGTGCCATTTTTTGAGGCCCTGACGAGTCGGCCAGGATTCCCGCTCTCTGACAAGACCACAGGGAGAAGAGGGAGAGTCATTCTTTTGAAGACCTGTGGGAAGAAGCTGTGAGAGTTTAAAAAAGAAACAAAAGTTGGCCACTTTTCTTTATGCAACAAAGATGCTCCTTTTCCTCCGGCCCATTTTGAAATGTTTAATGATTCAGAATCCTACTTAGACCATTTAAGCAATGTGTGTATAATAGGTGTATATATATATCATATATACACCTGGATCATATATATATAATTACATATGATATATATATCACATATATATATATATACACACACACACACACACACCTATTATAATCCTTTGCATATCAACTGGGAAGCTCCCTTGAGGCTGAGCCCCTGTCAAGGTATTTGGAACTAAGTCTACTTTGACAAAAAGGCCAGTAAGGTGTTCTGATCATGTCTTAACCAAGAATTTGTACAGGAGAACTCAGCTTTTCAGGGCCAGAATGTGATTTTTGATTTTAAAGACCCGTAAGATAATTTAACCTTGTGTTTTCAAAATAAAAGTTGCCTTGGATTAAAAAGTGTTGTTTTAAAATTTAAATCAAGTTATCTTTAAGAACACTCCCAAACACTGCTTTCCAAATTTGATTTGTGAGCACAAAAGTAATGCTGTGTTCATACAACTTGCTTTAGAGTGGAATTTCTAGAGTCAATGAAAAGCCAATCTTGTTGAAGGCGTGCAGACATGAAAAGGTAGTGTTTGGAGGTGGCCATCCCTGCTCGGCCAGGTGTCCAAAGCTGCAACGCATCCAGTGTTGGTTTGAATAAAAATGGAGGGAGAAAGCTGTAAAAAGCTCTAAGCAAATCTGACCGGACAGACCTCTGAAGAAAATTTTTAAAAGCCCTCCAAGGGAGCTAATAAAAAAGTGCAGATGCTGATGGGGTCTAATAGCTTTTCCTCTCTTCTACTGACAATGAATGCAAGGCCATTGGTGATGGTGGACTGGAGGGGAAACCCGAAAGGAAAAGGGGCTTTCAGAGCTACACTGATCCAATTGGGGCAGTTGGCACTCCAGGCATGTACAGTGGTCAATGTGGATTTAGGAAGTACATGTCTCATAAATAGTTCTGTAAAAGTGAGGTCTTCATGCTGCTTGGGTTCTTGTGGCTCAGCCTGTGCATTCAGAAAGGAAGGGGAAAATATATACACAAGAAAAAAGGAGTAGGTTCCCTCCTTAGGAACATTAATGGGCTACAATCCCTGATGGAGTAGGCATCTATTTGAAGAGCTAATTTACAAGGATGGTAAAACAGACTCAGATGGCTTGTGGGAAATTCCCAGGCCTGCCAACGATGAGTGCAGAGGGCATCTTGTGTGTGGGTACAACTTGTTCTTCTGGACAAGAGGAACAGTGCATGGCTCTCAATGCCAGGGTGGCAAAAGCCCAGTGTCCATTCTTCCTTGCCCTTGGCACTGAAGCCAAGCTTCCAAGGGATACTGTGGAAAGGAACTCCGCGAGGGAAAATAAACCAAATCACAACTGTTCTTCCTCTAAAAATGGAAATGGAGGCAGTCAGAATAACCCTTTCACTAGCTTTATACTTTCTCTTAGGTTCTGGGAAGTCCTGAATAACCAAGCAGTTTTGTTTTGACTTTTAATATATTGTCCTAAGCCCTTTAGATACAGCTATTCTACACTTAAAAGGGGGATCCATTTACAAAGGTTTACATGGTGTCTACTGTATGCAAGGCAGTGACCTAGCTATTGTGGGGATATAGATGACAAAGACAGTGTCTTCCCCATGAGGAGCTGATGAAGTGGGGAAGAGGCCAGAAAAGTTTATGGGCAATCACAACTGGGTGGAATGAAAAGAGCAGAATGTGTAGGAGCTTGGAAGAGGGGTCTGGTCATGAGAAGGCAAGTAATGGCCTCATGGAAGAGGTAGCTATTTGCTGAGAGAGGAGGTAGATGAATAGAAGGAACGCAGGCATGAACAAAGATGACAGTTGCTCCCAGGAGCCAGCACAGGTACATGCAAACACCTGGTATGCTGCAGTATGACTGGTGCATTGAACCAGTATGACTGGTTGAAGATCTGGGAGAGGGGCAGCCCATCGGAGCCACCAACATCCTATGGAAAGATGAATGGTAAGAGCTGGCCGGTGAGGTAGGAGATGACTCTAGCCACAGTGGACTGAATCAGTCAACGAAGAGATAAGAGATGGTAGGTGAACAGTGAAGAGGTTGAGAAAATAGCTGAGAAGACTGGAAAAGTTCAGAAACTAGAAAGGTTTCTGGTTAGTGGCAAGGAAAAGTTAGGAGCAAGTCCTAGTAGGCTTGTGGAAGAATGGACACAATCCCACACTTGTTGGCCTTGCAGTGAAGGGGCAAACAGGAGGGCAGGGTCACAAGGTCTGCTCTGGCTGCCTGATGGAGGGGTAGTATTGGATAGCAGAGATAGGTAATGAAAAGGCAATAGATTGTGGGTAGTATTAATAGAAATAGTAACAGTAGTAACAGCAGTATTTGGGGGGAATGAAACAAAACCAGCATTTCTCAAGACCTAACAGTGTGCAGATCTGGGATGCTGAGCTCAGCTTTGCATTTGAGGTATGCAGACATCCTCAGGAGATGACTAGTCCTGTAAATCCAGGATTCAGGCCAGGATTAGAGCTCTAACTCTCTGAGACCTCAACATTTGGTGTGAGGGCAAGAGAGGAAAGGGTAGGCAAGATTGTGGAGAAGGAGAGAGAGAGTATAGCTGTAAGACCAGCCCCAGGCCTCAGACCTCTTACTTGGCTCACACAACAGGTTTTAAAATAATTTTAATTACTTGTCAAATATTTAAAAACTAGGAAATGTCAACTTTAAAGTCAAGTTTTCCAATTTCTCTTGGAAAATAGGATGTTCTGGAACACTAAACCCGTACTTCTTGATATAAATGGCCTAAAGTCTAGCAGTAGCTGTTTTTTTTTTTTTTTTTGGTGGAGCATATGATCCTTAGCCACATGCCCCACCATTCCCTATTGCCTCACCCTAGCTGGCTTCACTCACTGACTCTATATGGCTCTGAGACCTGGCATAGTGATAGAAAAAATGCTGGGGTGGGGCTTCTGGTCCAAGATGGCAACATAGGAAGACCGTGAACTGACCTCATCCATGGACATACCAAATCTACACCTATCAAAGCAATTCCTCCTGAAGAGAAACTGAGGACTGACTGACCAGCTTCTGCACAATAAAAGATCAAAACATGAAAACATAATAAAGGGAATACCCAATGGTGCAAACTACAGTGGGGAAGAATAGTTATGGAGGGACTTTGGGTAGATTCAGCTGCCCTGAAGCACTGAAAAAAACACCATTTTAAAGCACAACTAGAATATAAAGCATTCAGCCCTAGAACCCTGACAAATGGCAAGACACAAAGTCTTCCCAGGTTGGAGGGGCTGGTGTGTGTTATTCACAATCCCTTTATACCTTGGTAACATGGAGAGCAAGGTCCAGTGTCTTGGTGAACCTTCTACTTCAGTGAGCCCCAGGCCTTTAGCCCACACAAGCCCCAGCTATCACACCAAGGTGGCCCCAGAATGGTGTATATCAGGATGCTTCTGGTCAGCACTCACTACAGATCTAGAACAGGATAAAGCAAAGCCCCCCAAGCTTAACAGCAAAAAGAAAAATGAATTAAAAAAAAGATGAAGGAATCTCTTGGATAACATCAAACAAACATTTGCATAATAGGGATCCCAGAAGAAGAGAAGAGAGAGAGAAATGGGAAAAAACCTAGACATCCAGGTTCAGGAAGCACAGAGAGCTGCAAACAAGATGAACCCAAGAAGAACCCATGATGTGTCACATCATGACACATAATTAAAATGTCAAGGATTAAAGATAGAGAACTGAAAAAGTATCAGGAGAGAAGCAACTAGTTAATTACATGAGGCTATCAGCTGGTTTTTTAGCAGAAAGTTTGCAGACCACAAAGGAGTAGCATGATAGATTCATAGTGCCAAGAGATAAAAACCTAAAACCAAGGATACTCTAAACATCAAGATTCCTGATCTCTTCAGTTCTGAATGGTAATTTTCCAAATAAAAGTTAAAGGAGTTCATCAACATTAAACTGGCCTTATAAGAAACATTAAAGGGACTACTTTTTGGGGGGTGGGGGAGAGAGGGGGGAGAGAATCTTAAGCAGGTTCCATGCTCAGCGTGGAGCCAGATGCAGGGTTTGATCCCATGACCCCAGGATCATGACCTGAAGTGAAATCAAGAATCAGATGCTTCACTGATTGAGTCAACCAGGCACCCTGGGGGACTTCTTTAAGTGCAAAACAAAAGGCCATAATTAGAATAAAATTATAAATAAAAGTAATGTAAAATATGACATATATATAAAACATGGAGCAGGGAGTGAAAAAAAAGTTTTAGAATATGTTTGAACTTAAGTGACCATCAACTGCATATGGAACTCTGTATATTTAGGATGTTATATGAGCCTCATGGGTAACCACAAACCCAAAACCTATAATAGATACACAAAAAATAAAGATAAATAAAGCCAAGTAGTATATAATACTTGAAATCATCAATCACAAGAGAGTAAGA